GTTTTTTTTGTTGTTGCTTTTAGAAAGCAATCATGATCAACAAAAAGTGATAAAAAAAACATTGTCAAAGAAAAAACTAATTTCTACAACTGGTTGACAAATACAGATATTGAACAAAAAATAAATGATTGCATAAATATTCACACCCTTAGAGTCAGCGTTTAGTAGATGTACATGTGGCTGCAATCACAGCACTGAGTGTGGAAAGATTCGATATTCACCGACTTTAAGGGGATGAATATTTTTGCATTTACTCAAAAACAAACTCAAAACATCTTATTTCTGAAAGCAATTAATACCCTGATCTCTCACATGCACTGATTATATTATGGTATATGTGTACATATCTACCTAAATATATATATGATTGTAAATATCACCAATTTATGTTTAAATGGTGTATATTTATTGCATTGTTTGCACTATTTTTCGAGTTGGGTTTTAATCTCATTGTGTACGTGTACAGTGACAAAAACAACAAATTCTAATTCTAATTTAATGTTCAATATCTACAGTGGCCATTGTTACAGAAATCAATTTTCAATTTTGTTGATCATGATTGATTTGTACAAGCAATAAAAAATGGCACATCATCCAAGTATGCACATCATTTATGGTAAAGGTGATCAAACACAGTAATCAAATACAGATGGATCTTGTTTCTGTCCTTTGATTATGTGTAATGCTAACACATTGTAGGATGCTCCGAGGGTCTAATAAAGGATCTGAAAACTCCACGGTCCTTTGCATCATCAGAATTTCAGTGGATAAAACCGTTGTTAAAATCAACTATTGCATCTGTAATTAGTATTCTCGTTGCCTTGTTGCGAAGGCGAGCGCCCCCTTGGGCTAAATCTGGCAGGGACAGCTGGATGTTTGGCAGCTTACAGAGCAGGCTAAATGTCACCGCGTCAGCTGGCCAGATGCTGGCGCCCTCACGCCTCCCCGTGCACCCCGAGACATTTGGATTCTCTGGCTGCAAGCTCTGGACCCAGACAGCACCATTTGCATTCATCGCTTGGCACAGGAGGGAATTAACAGGGAATAACTGCCTTGCAGAGGGACATTTAATAGTCAATGGTTTAATTTGTTCCTAGTTATTCTTTTCTTTTTGCTTTCATTCCATCCCACTTCAGATCCACCTCTGCTTGTCTTTGCTCTACGATGTTTCATTTTCTTATTTGGTCTTTGCATGTCTGCTTCACTCACCAGAGCATTTGTCCTGAATTTATGCAATCTCATCTTAGTCAAATCATGGCGATTTGTGTGGCAAAGCTTAACCTGGAGTAGGCTGACTGAAAATCACAGCTCGAAACTTATTGCTTGAAACTGTTGCACGGTAGCTTGCTAGCAGAAGGATAAACGTTGCGACAAAATGCAAATGTCAGCGAAACATCTGAACAGAATTAAAACCTGCCAGCCAGCGATGCACCAAGATTTGCAACTCGCACGGAAGGAGACATTTTGTGACAGGATGGAAAATGGAATAATCTGGTTTGTGTCAGTTTGTCACAACATTTCCACCGGAGTGAGGTGACACGTTATGGGGTAAAATGAGATGCTTCCTACCTGAAGAACTTGTAGAGAATTATGCTGTAGAGTAAATGGACAGTGTATGGACATATATGTATATTTGTTTTTCTTCATTTCAACACAAAAAGGATTAGAAAAGCAAGCCATATTCCCTATGCAGTTATGCAGACTTTGTGTTTATATTGGTAGTTTTTATTTCTACTCATTTTTGATATGAAAAAAAATCTATCAGCAGTTTGTCAAAAATGTTTCATGGCCAACAATAATGCACCAACGCTTACAGCGATACGCATACTAATTGCCAATTCTTAAGCAGAAGACGTTAGGCTGTTTACATTTCAGTTTATCACAAAAAGGGAAAAATTGTGATGTTTTCAGTCAATTTTAATTTGTTAAAAGAAAAGTCTGGTTCTGTCAGATTTATCTGGAGCCTTTCAAAAATATCCATAAGCCTCTATGTCCCTGTCATATCACAAGCATAAACTTAAGTATATTTTTTATCAGGGTCCGCCAACACAAACTAAAAAAATAATAATTGTGACGTGGAAGGAAAACGATACACGGTTTTTGAAAAAACATTGTAAAAACCTGAAAAGTGTTGTGTGCATTTGGAGTTTTGCCTCCATATGCTGATACACCTAAATAAAATTATTGGCAACAAGTTGTCTTCTGAAGTAAAAAGCTGGAGAAGCTGAGTACGTAGAGCAGTGTAGGTAGGTGGGATAAATTCTAACATTTCTGCACAATGCATGGCTAGCTTTAGTTTGAGCTAAAAGTCACATCTGTCTCATTAAATGAAATATAATATCACAAGTCTGTCGGATGAGTAAATTCTATCTTTGCATGAAGGGAATGAGAGGAATACATTATGAAAGTATGTTTACTCTCAATATCAAGATATTCTGAGGAGAAGAACAATGCTAAGGTTGACTCAAAGAGAGTGCATACATTTTAATTTGAGAAAGGTTTCAGACATCAAGTTGTAACGTATTTCTACTGAATTTTTAACAATCTCAGTGGCTTTAATCCCTTATCACCTCTTTATCTTATAAAACCCTTTATGATGCATTAAACAACTAGTCTCAACAAAGAAGATGACAGGCATAGAGAGTCTGGTATTTAAATAACTAGCTAATGTCTACAGCAGTCCAGATAGCTATTCATGGTGTACAGTGATTTTAGGAAGATGAACATGAATGAGTATCTTCAAGGTCTGTTTTGTACCTTTCTCAGTGCTGCTACACTTGCTATAGAGTTCACCTGTGTGTAATTTATTGTAGGTATAAACGAAAGCCAGAGAATCCCACTGAACTAACAGAACAACTTTCCATCAGTCAAATCCAAATTGATGTAGATTTTAGACAGACTGGCAGGTTGTGATTATGATTGTCGTCTGTTTCAGTGAAACGGGTGACAAAGTTTCACTGAAACTTTGACGAGAGTCGAGACCAAGCAACACAGCAGGTCAGGAGTAAAGTTATGGAGAAGTTTTAAAACAGGCTTAGGTTATAGAACAATATCCAGGTTGTAAGCCTGTTCAAGAGCTCAGAGCCATCCATCACCTGGAAATGGAAAGAGTATGGCAGAACTACAAAGAACTACAAAGAAAAAAAGCTACTGGAGAAATAAAGCAAGAAGAAGTCACTTTGGAGTGAACAACAAGGTGTGGACCAATGCAGCAGTTTTGTCTGCTTGTAAAATGCTATGTGGGATGGAGAGCTAACACTAAACATCATTCTTTGAAACATAGAAGCGGAAGCATCATGCTGTGGGCCTGCATTCTTTACTAGGGAACAGAGGAAGTTGGTCAGAGCTGATTTGAAGATTAGTGGAGCTAAACATAACTGAACCATGGGAGAAAACAGACACAGCTCCTAAACATACAGCCAGAGTTCACATGTTGGAATGGCCCAGTCAAAGTTCAGACCTAAAAATGACTACTCACATATATTTTTTCTATGTAACCTCAGCTAATTTCCAAAGAAGCATTGGCAAAAAGTTCAGACTTAGAAATTCCAGATTGCAGCGAAACGTGGTTTCAACAAATTATTCTTTCAGATCGGGTGAACAAAAATGCACACCACACTTTTCAGATTTTCCTACTCTAATCTTATTTGGACTATGTATTATATTCTTTTATTTCAAATTCAACATGATTTATTTTAGTCAGTGACAAAAAAAGAAAAAAACAAAAACTGAAAGTTTGAGGTTGTAGAGTAGAGAAATTAGAAAAAAGGAGCATGTATATACGTATATTTCAAGATGATTTAAAAGCACGCTTAAAAGAGAGTATTTTTGTGGTATGATGCCACACAATAGCTTTATAAATCAGGAATACTGTCCAAATGGGAAAAACAAAACAAAGCATCCTCTCCGATTTCTCAAAGGGGACAGCTTGTTATAAACCTCAGCAGTTTATGGTTTACTGTCACCGCTTCGAAGAAGCCTGAACAGAAAGAGTGCAGCACTGAAATTAAAGGAGCAGCAACAAGTTTCTCTTTCTTTTTTTTCCGCCCTTGAGAGAAAAACACTGTAAGATTAATATAATAAGTTCAACTTGTTTACTTTGCTCCCCTGTCTTTTCTCGGTCTTTGTGCAAACAACAGACAGGAGCATTCAGGGGTGAAATTTGCTCGTGGCAAATGCTCGAATTATTACATCAGAGAGCTTCTCTCTCATCTTTCTTTACTGTCTCTGGTTTACGATAAAGCGATTATGCAGTTTTGGAAGCACAATCAATGTCAGTTGGCAAATTTAAATTCATATTAATTAAATTCATATTAATACGAAAAAGCTCTTCATGTTGCTGCTTTTGTGCAAAAGTGTCACAATCACCATTGGAAATTTTTCAAATTCAGACATTATGTGCAGACGTGGAGGAATGTTTATTTCATGCTTTAACTAGGAGATGGTGTGACACACATGCACACACACATACACAAAAATATAAAATATTTTTCAGCTCTTGTCCGTTTTTCTTATTTCTCTGAGGTCTCACCTATTTGCTCCTCAGTCAGTGTTTTTCATTAGTGGAGCTTCTTATTCCACTTGTATGAGTGTGTGCTGCACTACCAGCAACAGTTCAGAACTGTCAGCAGCAAAACAGCTTCTAATCTGTACACACAACCGCCTTTAATCTGAACCTACCAGCTAAATGCTGCCTAACACACGCATCCAGACACACACACACTTCAGACGAAAAGAACATGCAGGAAAAGTCCCAATGTTTCTCACAACAACAACATGTCGCATGGGGGGCGGACGGGGAATCTACAGATTGCAGTTTGTGCTTGCGTGCGTGTGTGTTGCTGTTACTCCTCACCTTGTCCCAGTGTATGTGACACCCCCTCCTCCACTCCACTTGTCTCTGCTGCGCTGTCCTTCATCTAAGTCCACCTTCTTCATAGCAACACTCCTCATATCATTCCTTTTTGCATGTGTGTGTGCGCGCGCGTGTGCGTGTGCAGGTATACCGGAGGCAGGCGTCAACCAGGCTGGCAGCGTTGGAGGAGGCTGCGGAGGGGAAGACGGCTTCTTACAAGAGGGAGATCCTTCACCTGCAGAAGCTGCTGAGAGAAAGACAGGAGGCTGAGGAAAAACTGCTGCAGTCGAAACGGTAGGAGGGGGGGGCGAGAAGAGAAGAGAGAGAGGGAGAGAGAGGGGGAGAGAGGAGGACGGGGGAGGATAGTGAGATAATGTATGAATGAGAGGAGGGGATACGATAAGATGAAAGACAACTGTGTGTGTAGAAAGAAAAAGGTGTAAGAAAACAACATTGACTCAGTTTTGCAATCTTATAGTCTGATTTGGCTTATTAAAGCTGCATTATACAGCTTTTGTAAAGAATATGCTTTTACATACGTGTTAAAAGTTGACAATTTGTTATGAGACACATTATCTGTGAAAAGATCGATCTCCTCCACCTGCTCCCTGAGCTACTGTCGCTGTCTGAAGAAATGAACCACTCCCAATCAAAGACGACCAAGCGGATCCAGGAGGAGGGTCCTAGCGCTGTCAGTCATCCTCATGTACTCACTGCTAACTGTGCTAATGGCAGACAAACAACTTACAGTTACAGGAAAACTGTTTATCTGCCGTAAGAAACAAGAAATAAGCTTGTTTTAAGTCAATAATTAAAATTTTAAAATAATTTTAAAAAGTACTAGTTCCACTGACAGACTTTGTCACATGTAAAAAAAATCTTCTTTTTCTGTTTTAAGGGGAAAATAAAATCTGCAGTATTGTTTATTTAGAACAAGCATATTTCTCTTGCTGAATTTTTACGTTTTTTTGTCTTAATTCAAGTGTACTAAAATATTTACACGAGAAACTAGACAAGAATTCATGGACAAAAAAATTGTGTTTTTGCAGTGTGTTAAACATTTTGGGGTTACGTTCCAGGAAGTGAAAAAGAAATCTTATATAGGGAGGGACTATATGTCATGTTATTTGAAGATATAAAAAGCAGCAGCAGAAATATAATGATTATATACAATTCAATGGAGAGACGTTGGAGACAAAATGACCCACAGGAGGAGGAAGGATTATTCTCACCACGCTGACGGCTTTTTGTTTTTCTTTTTCTCGCAAGTGTCTTTCAAAAATCATCTCCAGAAAGGAGAGTGAAACCCCAGAGACTTCCCCATCACATGTTGAATCCTGCTTTCAGGTTCACTGCTGTTGCCACACCAAAACGTGATGCAGTGTGTCAGGAAGTTTCTCAATAGCATCATGATAAAAAGCAGTGAAGATGCTGCGGCGTTATTATGGGATGCCACCAGGGACATTAGCATCCCGCAAGTTGTGACAAGCATCAGTCTGCCGAGCGAAGTGCAGGAACTTCAGGTGAGATTCTTGGGCATTTTCGCAAATCGGGGCCCTCGGGGCAGTCACCCCCAAACTGGAGCAGTGGCTACAACAGATCCCAGGAATAACATCAGACATCTCAGTCCAGAAATGTGCAGTTCTAAGCACAGCTAAGATACTGCGCAGAACCCTCAAGCATATAAAATCATATTTATTTTTGGTCAGTATCCATAACAATTCCATTTAAAATAATTGTTCTATAAGTTTGGAAAGACAGGGCATCTCATTGCAACTTGAAGAACCGTGAACTGCTTTCAACATAACAGTTTCCTGTTATCTTTCTGTTTATTTTCTTTAATGTAGGATGTTATATAAAACATAAAGGTCAAATAAATTCTGGGACATAGTGTTCTTCAACTGTTCCTCAATAGAAAAGCAAAGTGATATTAAAATGTAAAATATTCTGAAGCACAAATCAACCTGAATTACAAAATAAAAGAACTAGATATAAATTAAAAAGGATTAAGTAAGAAAATTATGATTTGCATCGACTTATTATAAACAAGACATAAAACAAATGTGCTCATATTTTAGTGCAGCTAGTGTAGGATTTCATAGATTCCAATAAAATTAGACAGAATATGTACAATAAACGTCACTTTGCATATCAATTCACAGTTTAAATTCTGGTTGTTGCTCAGGGGGGCAGACACGACCGCAAAGCAAATCTTTCATATTATTTGTTTTCTTGTGAAATTTCAAAAGTAATAACATAAAGAATCATTTTTCAGCTTTGCATTGTTTTCTGTTTTGATATTGACTCTGAAGGATAAACTTAATTAATCATACAGCCCTAATGGCTGGATAGGTGGATGTGATAAGACATCCCAGCAAAGGTGCAGCAAATGATGCTCAAATCTTAATATACCACCGTGTTCACAGACAGGTTTCGGCTTCATCTGGATTATATATTGTCTTTTCTCCAAATATGACTTTCTCAGCACTTTAGAGTGACATGTGGCCAATAAAAGGAGCAGCAATGGTCTTTGTGGCGAGCATTAGCTTTAATATTGCTATTTTTCAGCCATAAATAAAGAACAGATTTGTTTCTTCCAAATAAATCTTAAATACTACATTATTGAACGAAAGGGTTTGAAAATGAGTCTGTTAATTAAACCTGCATCATCAGTACTATTTTATTGAATTTTCTTGCTTTTTTTTTTTAAGCCAATTGGTGAAACTGGCTAAATATAGCACCTTTCTAATAATCAGGTTGCTGCATTAAAAAAAAAAAAAATTCTCAACACTTCCCCTCTCTCTCTCTCTCCCACCGTGGGTCGGTCTGTTTTTAGATCCGTCTCCGGGCCTGATGCCCGCTGCTATCAAATGAAAGCAAGCTAATCAAATTGTGAAGAGTCGGCCCTGTTCTGCCTGGAGGGCATCTTAATGACGAATCACACACATTATCAGACACATCTCTAACCAGAGCGCCTTTACCCGATCTCAGGAAGGTCGTTCGTTCTTTTAATTCAGCCTCGCTTGCTTTGTAATTTATGTAGTAAAGTTGTACTATCGACGCTATTCATTGGATGGAAAAGGCAGCTGTGTTTTAGTAAACACACAGGACGAGATCCTATCACTTGTGATTAAGCCTCTCTTATCACTGGCTGCCAGTCAGTTTGGTAATCGATTTGTAAGATCGCTATGATCACCCATGTGCTCTGCATGGTTTGTTTCTGACACGCATGGCTGAGTAGTCGACCTTTTCAGGATAAATCCGACTAATCAGGGATAAATAATATTAATTCCTTCTTTTTGTATGGGAGGCTTAAACCTCAATGCAATAAATGCAATAAACCAAAATGTACGTTAGAGACAGATGTTTGTTTCTTTCCACATTAAGTTGCTTCCCATCCAGTCCACTTCCCATCTTCTCAGTTTTACATAAGATAAAACAAAAAGGTCAGTGGCTCTCGTATACCTTATTAATCCTTCAGACTAATGACTATTCTTGAAATTTGTTAACATATGTTTGATGAGAACTTGGCAAAAATGAAGGAGCAGTGTGAAAAACTAACAAAGTCCTATGATTTTTGGTTGATTCAATTTTATTACAGGGGCATTATGTAAATCAACTTTTTGCTTTGGCAGCAATAGATTTATTAACTCGCTTATAAATTTTACAAACCAGTAAACCGAACAGGCTAACTAATTAAGAGGATTTTGCTCAGTGTTTTTTGGCCAATAAAAACGAGGGAAATGGAACGTCCTATTTCTTTTTCATTGTTTTTCTACATGCGTTGTGCACTTTTCAGAGGTGTGCACCTAAGTTTGTTTGCTGTGGTTAAATTCCTATAACCACCGACTCATTGGAACGGATTGAGAGCAGATTCTGATTATAATTTAGAGCTTCCTCCTTGGCTCTGAATTTTTGCTGAGTTTTTGACATGTTTCTAATCAGAAGCGCCTCATTAAACTGAGCTCAAGGTTTTACAGCCGAAAATCCCTTTAATGACATTGAGTGACGCCAACTGTCTCAAAATATATCTTATTAGGAAAAATTTTCCGTCTTTGGCTCCTTCGTGCGATCAGAGCAGAGTTGAACCTTGCCTCAGAGAATGGTCACCCTAATTATACTCTTTCTGATAGTCCTCCCCTGACGCACAGTCCAGCCTTGCCAAGTCATTGGAACCATACACCGGGGCCAAAATGTTACCAAAAAATCCTGTTTGTAGATGGTGTTTTTTTTTTTTTTTTGAGAAAACAAGTTTGCTTTGTGCTCAGGAAGGGCATTTGGAGTGAAACTTTTCATCGTCTCCCTTCAGAAGAATCTTTCTGCGAGTCAGTCTACGTTCCCTCTCATCCTCTGCTTTATATTCCGCCCGTGGTTTAGCCGCAGAGATGCTGATTGGTTGTGATTGCTGCCTGCCAGCTGAGTTCTGCGTAGCCTCCGGGGAACCGCCACTGCCCGAGACTTCACGGAGCTCTGGAGGTGGCAATTGAGCTTTCAGAGCTTTTTTTGCCCTCCTCAAAACATAGTCTGCTCCTCCCACTGCTATCTAGCCGCTCAACACAGAAAGACTTGCTCATATAAACAAATAGCAACCTCCAAATCAACAACCAAAGCTGGTAATTTGCTTATAAATTCCCCCATTTTCATTTAATTTACTTTCAGCAGCCAACAAACTGAGACCCTGATAATATAAGCTGTTGTCAGTAAGTTTAGAATCTGATTAAAATGCAACAGGGTTTCGAAGTACTGAAGTCAGTGGATGGTTAGTATTGATTAGCCACTTCTTTAGAATAGCTTTGGTCTAAGTTCCAAGTAAATTACTACTTAAAAGATGTATTATGGCAAATAATTAGCTTTCACTTATTAAAGGGAAAGTGTTATGTACTTTCTACTTTGACTTCAGTTATTAAAAAAAATGCTATATTTATCAAATATAACTTACAAGAAATTTTATTTTTTGGTTTAACGCCTGGAAATTGGGCCTCTGTCTCTTTAAAAACTCCTGCTCTTTCTGAAACTCCGCCTTCAGGAAGTTATCACAGCATCGCTCCTCTATTAATCCTTTAACAGGGTTTTTGCCAGCGTTGCACTGAGAAGAAGCTTCCATTATGAGCTCAGCAGATGTGCAGTTCTACCAGGTGTTTGCTAATTGCCGATGGCTAGTCTGAAGGAGCCGAGTGGGAAAGTCGTGACGGAAGCTCTGAAGCTTGGAAACTGCAGCTCAGAGGAGAGGCTGCGTCTGAAAGGTGGCGCCAGGTCCATCCAGGCGTTTTGCACAGCTGAATGGTTGCCATGGGAGATTAAAGGATTTCTCAAACATTCATGAGAGAATCAAGGCAACACTCCAGGAATGTTTTTGATGTATAACAGTGTAATATGATGTAAAACTCAAAAATGTTGCTTTTACATAATACTGCCCATTTACAACAATGATTTTTAAGCTAATATTAATAGTATTCTGTCAATTCTGTTAAAGCATGGGGTTGAAACAGCCCTTCCTTCTGCTGTTGAGCACCTCAAAGTGCTGACAGTCATTTATGTTAATGTATAGAGCTGGGCCTCATGCTAAAAATTAATAAAACTCAAGAGCACAAATGATCATGCTGCAGAAGTTTTCTTTTCCTTCAGGCTCCCTCATTTGATCAGGGCCTACCCCATCCATCAGAACCATTTTTCTCTCAAATCATTCTGGGTCCTCTACGAACCCGAGGCAGTTGTCAAGGACTGTATTTCGCCTGCCTTCGCAATAACCTGCCAGTTAGAGAGACGTGAAAGAGACGGCTGAAACAGACAGAGATGGGTGGCGGTTTTTGTAGCAGTCGTTGTAAAAGATCCCCGTTTGTTATCTTACAGTCGTAGCAGCCTGTGGCGTTTGTAGTTTTAAGCCCGTAGTGAGTGAGAACCTGCACTGACATACAGAATTAGTGCTTTGCTAACAGCAGCCTTCAGCTCATACAGAGAATTTCTAATCATGTTGTACCCCTGAACCCATCACTGAGATGTTTCTTCTGCATCCAACAGACATAAAGCTCTTAACTTTATTATTCTTGTAATACTCATAAAACACACACTAGATCCAGGGGTTGAAGGCTAGTTCAAACACTCAACGCTCTGTCCTGCATTAATAATGTATTTTCCCTTTTATTCAAAAGCAACAAGGGCTTATCAAATGTAGAGATACATTAAAATATGCATTCTGTCCTGATGATGAGGCTCCATTATATTAAAAGTTCCTTATGAAAATTACCCATAAGCATGTGTTATATATACTTTACATTAAACCCACATTTCTGGTTTCAAATGTTTTTGTTTTGTTTTTTTATTGGTCTGAAGTAATATTCTAATCTTAAATATCATCTTTACATTAGCTGAAAGTAGAAAACTATCATAATTTGCAATATAAAGACTTGAAAATATGAACACAAGCATGTTATTAACCTAGATTCAAATTGAGGATTGAGTGACTGAAATGAATGAACTTTTTGGTAAAATTCTGATTTATTGAATTGACCATATGAAATGGCTGCAGTGCAGATATCTAAAGATGCAATAGTACTCAGTGGTACGTAAGCCACACAGTGACTGGCAAATCTTTTAATATCCTTTTTTTGTGATAGATCAACAAAAAATATAGAATCATTGTTAAGTGGAAGGAACAGGATTCTACTTTCAAATGTGCAATTTTTAAGTAGAGAATCTGTTTTCCAAAGATTCTTTATCTGAACATGTACAATAATGTACTTTCCCCCCCAACTCCCAGTTACACTGTTGGGATGTTGTGTTCAGTGTTCATGTTGGTCCACTTTTTACAACAATGCATTTCTTTATGTTGAACTATTTCACAAAATCCCAACAAAATACATTGAAGTTTGTTGTTGTAACATGACAGGATGTGAAAAACCTCAAAGGTCTCTTTTTTTTTCTCAGTAGAACGCTTTTGCAAAGCACCATGTATGTTTAATGCAGCAACATACATTTTAGTGGGTCTGTGGTCACTGCAATCAAGCCAGTCTTCAGTAAGAGTTTCTCTCCATCACAGGCTCATTAATCTTTTTTCCTGTATGCTGAAGCAGCAGTGAATGCGGTTGCCATTGGTAACTGTTTGGATTGGATGTAATTAGCAGAGAATATGTGGTGGTTGTCGCTCTGAGATGACAAGGGACAAAGTTGTTTTTTTTGTTCACATTGAGACATCAATAATTGAAAGAACAGTTTATCTTTTTTTCTTCACAATCTAGTTGATGTTCTTCAGATAGACTAGCAGTCACTCTAAAGTTCAAGTTCAATGAAATATATATATATATATATATATATATATATATATATATATATATATATATATATATATATATATATATTTATTTTTTTTTTTTTTTCTGATTTTCACATGGGCTTCTCAAGTTCTGCAACCTTTTTGGTGTCGTGATCCGTAGTTTCCTGTGTTTATTTTTGAGTTTTTTCTGTGTTTATTGTGATGCTGTCCCCTGTGAGTCTCTGTCTCTGCGTCTTCCGTTGATTGATCCCAGCTGTGTCCTGTTCCTGTGATTACCCTTCCAGAGTTTTTAGTCCCACCTGTTGTCTGTGTTCCTTGTCAGATCCTCCTCTAACGTCGCTTGTCAGTCAGTTCCCCTCAGTTGAACTGTGTAGTCCAGAGGTTGTTCGTTTCTGTGTTCAGTCCATATGTCCGTTGCTACCAGTATTAGCTATGTGCTTGTTTGCTGCCGTGGTGCCTGAGCCAGGACTGTGTTCGTCTCTTCATTAAACTCATCACCTTTATCTGGGTCTCTGCGTTTATTCCCACCACCATCAACCCCACACTCATGACATTTGGCTAGGATCTGGTTATTAAAAGTAATTTTAAACACATGAAGTATCATAAAATAATTTTACACCATCTCTTTTTTTGCCATCCGTGATGGCCTCTAGTCCAAAATGCCTGACACAGGTGCTTTACATAAACATGTATCAATGTAAATCTTGAATAATTAGTTTGCTAAAACACTGAACCACCACAGATCATGAATTATATTGCTCGACAAATACAAAATTGCCACTAATTATGTTTTCATTTACTTTATTTGCAGAAGGGCAACATTGTGCATTAATAAACATTTTGAACAACACAAATGTAAATGCACCAATTTACAACCAAGGCTGATTTCCATTGTCTGTGTCCCTAACAGATGGTGCAGGCTAAATTATTGAAAATTATAGTAGTAAAAACCAACAAGGGAAGAATGCATCAAGATTAATTTACAATGCCACTAAATATGCCATATAAATATGTGTGGTTCATATATGTTTGACAGGATCACCTCATGTGGCCAAAGCATTAATGTTCTCATCACTGCCTTCCAGATAATTATTTACTTTGGGATTAAAAAGCGTTTGACCTCTTACAGATTTCTTCAACAACAGTCCAGGAGATCCCAAAAATAAAAAAAACAAGAACAATGTTTAGCACTGTTATCTGAAACTATTAAAGTCTCATTATTTAGAGCAGTGTTTCTCAACCCTGGTCCTCACCGCCCCCCCTGTCCTGCATGTTTTAGGTATTTCCCTTCTGCCACACACCTGAATTGTATCTCTGGGTGATTAACAGGCTTCTGCAGTACTTGATGGTCATGCAATCATTTGAATCAGCTGCTCTGGAATAGAGGCCCATCTAAAACATGCCGAGCAGGGGGGCGGTGAGGACCAGGGTTGAGAAACACTGATTTAGAGTAAAACACGTCCTGTACCAACACAAACTGAAAGGCCACTCACTGAGGAGGAAGCCATTACTCTAAAGCCAGATTTACAAATGCACACATGGACACAGACCTTTGTTTTTGGAGAGATGTCCTGTGGTCCATCCTAACTGTGAAGTATGATGCTACAGGAGGAACTGTTACACTCCATAAAATAAAAAGACCATTGAAGAAACATCTAAAAACATAAGTCAGGAAGTCGAAGCTTGAGTTCTGATTGGTCTTCCAAATGGACAATGACGGTCAACGTACAGCCAAAGAAGTTACAAAGTGACTTAAGAACATCACAATAATGCACCTTTCCCCTAACTCCCATTTACACTGTTGGGACCAAAGTCAGCGTTTAGGTGTGGCTATCACAAAGCCCTGATAGCAACCAATATTGAATTGTACGTAGATCTGAAAAGGTCTCGGTTCCACCATTTCTATCAGGAGGAATGGACCGGAAATCCAGCAAACTATTGTGAGAAACTAGGGGAGGAAAACCAAAGTCATTCAGTTCAAAGACAGTGCTACCAAATACAGAAGAAATGTATGTAAACTTCTAATTTTGAAGACATTGATAATAAATCTCTAAAGAGATTATCTTCCTCGTAACTGTGACATTTAGAAAATAGAAATAATGTTGGTAATTAGAAACATAAATGCTGTTTTACAGCAGAAAATCCAGACGGACAACGCCTGACTGTCAGTTCGTGACCTTATGTTCAAACGTAAACAGTCTGAACCAGACAAGTAGTTTCAACTTAGAATGGCCTTAAAAATGTTTTGGAGAGGTTTAGTCAAGAGCAAAACGTCCTTCTCGCTGACAAGCAGTGGCCTTAGAAGCTATCCGTTGTGGTGGAAGTACAAAATCTCTGCAAAGAAAAGCGGATCAAACTTCCTCCACAGTAATGTAAAAACCTGCTTAATCATAATTGTCAATAGTTTTGTCAGATAATTTTGGATATCACATAGCTTTTCTCTGTCTGATATTAACATTTGTTTGATGATTTACAACATTTTAGAAAGACAAAAAAGGAAAAACAAAATCTGTAATAAGGTAGATACTGTCTCGGTACTTTGGTACCGTTTAGAAAACCAAGCAGCACTGTCTCCTTACAGCCATAAACTGCTGAAACCAATGTGCCGCAAATTTCTGTACGAATACCT